ATTTATTTAAAATATATATATATATATTTCTGGTGTTACGAAAAGCATTTTACAGGTGTTGATACGTTTAAATGTTTGCTGAAAGATTTATGAGGAAAGTCGAATTTCTGATNATTAACACCGAGACAAGTCTCAATTAAATCCGTTTATTACAGAGTAAGGAGGGCTTGTAAGTAGATTTCACTAGGGTTGTCTTTTTGTGGACGTCTTCTTCTAAAAGTGATTTTTCACACATGAAAGTTCGTCCAATGTCCTGGAGAATTCGATGATCGGAGTCCCGGGACTGTTGTCATCCAGCAATGTCTGATGATTCAGAAGCCTCAGAAGCCGCTGGAGACGTCAATTGAGACTTCGATCTTTGGCGTGAAAGCGCATAGAATAAACAGATAGTTGGAAGAAAGGATCTCTATGAAACTCCGATTTTTGTAAGAGAGCGGCGGGAGAAAAGAAGAAAGAGACGGAACTTTTTGGGGAAAAGAACAGATCTATTAACCAAAGATCTCTTGGAAAAAGAATGGATTTTTGCGGACAATTTCGACAAAGAACTCCGTGTTCTTTTAAAGAGTTTGTCCCCGAATCGAACATTCCGTTTGATTTGATTTACCTCTCCACGCTTCCTGACTAGTCTCCTTTTTGTGTAGATGTAATGCTATCAATTTAGATCACTATAATCTCGATCGTCGATGTTTAATATGACACCGTATTCCGATCTCAACGCGAGATGGTCGATTTTGGAACTTTATTCGTATATTTTATTATTTCATACTTTTCTTCTATAATAAAACATTTTAAATACATTTAGTAAAAGCCTCATATTAATAAAAAAGTTATGGACCTAAAAATAAACTTTGATAAACTCCAAATCCACACGTCTTTGTTTAACAATTCTATACATTTCCGTAATTAATTTAAGTAATTCTTATCACTCATTTCCTTCCTGACTCAGAAATAATTGTCGGGAATCCTAAAGGCATCCCATGTTAATAATATATAGATAAGCTAAATTATAATTTATTATTATTTTTTATTATCTTTTCTTCCCAATTATGAAAAACCACGAAAATATTTCAAAATAAACACAAATTATGAGCAAAAAACAAACTTTCTAATCAAAGTTTTTTTTTTTAAATAACTTATACATTTATTTCCACAAATTGAATAAGCTTGAATTGCAACTAAAATTAATCGGGTCTCTTCATTTATATAATAAATAAACGCAAAAGAAAAGCAAAAATAACATTAATTCAAACCGTCATTATTAAGCGATTAAATTAAATAAAAGCTTCACCTTAAACAAATGAAAAAATGCGTTCTTTAAGGTCTATAACCAAATTCTATTGCTTTTAATGATAAACTAATGCAGCACCTCCGTATTTAAAAGCAATTGGATATATATCATGATGTGCATCCATTGCAGCTCTATGACGAGATTGTAATTGTTCAGAAGACACATACCAATTAACTTCTGCATTCGTTTTAGTAGAAGGACGATACCTAACATAATTTTGTCCAAGATGCTGAAGCGGATGACCTACTTGAACTCCATATTGTACTTTTCCTCGATTATAAGAATGATTTACTCTACCTTCTCCAAAGTCATTTCTAGCGTGGATCGCACCGTTCGCTTCATTTGCCACGTATCCAAATTTAAAATGACCTAAATCCTATAAACATTTATTTATAAAAATATATCCGGCTTAGTTAATTAAAACTTAAAAGTAAAGACTTACATCTTGTATGTGCAATTTTGACTTTCGATCGACATTTTTATGTAAAATTATAGAACTAACATTTTCAATTAATAGAGCTGCAAATACCTACAAAAAATAAATACTATTTAAGACTTAAAATTTTTAATTTTAAGACAATTATTACTGAAATATCGTTATTTACCAGCAGTAGCTTCATTGTTAACCGCCAAATTCCTAATTATTTTGTAGTAATCTCCGAGATTACTCTCTTTTATATTGATAGAATGGAAAACGAAACTGTAAGAATTTCAATGAAAGATAGATATTATTACAACAATTGTTTTTATTCAATAAATATAGTAAAAAGACTGGAAAAATATCGAAAAACTGTAGGAGTCAAACATGTTTTACTGTAATTTTATAAGGTAAAAATTATTTATAAAGAGATTCGGTTCATTTCGTAATCAAATAGGAATTTCGATCCTTTCTATGGAGATTTTTTTTCTACTTCTTATTCTAATAATCCTCTATGCCTCTTAGCTTAAAAATTGCATGTTGTAATTAATTTCTAAAAATAAATTCCAGGATTACTCAAAGTTTAAATTTTATAGAAATATCGAAATTGGTAATGAAAATCTGATATATTATCAAAGAAGATCGATTGAAGTTTCATATTTCTAAAGCTTATCCTAAGTTTTTACATATCTTAAGATTTAATTACTTAATTTCTATTATATTCAATTATATATTCATACTACATTAAACCTTTCGACAGCTTTATATTAATTTCTTCTCCCTCTTTTTTTCCCCTCAAAGTCACGTGTGATATGATAAACTATAATTAAAATGATCTTAAAAATCAAATATTATTAATATTTAATTTTTAAATATACAACTAAATCATTTATAATAATTTTTTAAATCAATAAATACTTATTCACCTTGACCGATTTATTCATTTTAATATAACAAAACAGCCTTTTATCTTCCATGACAGATGCTGATTTTCGATTCACTATTAATAATGAAGACGAAACTCTGTGTGGGAATTTAAGTTAATGATGAAAGTATCAAAACAACAATTAAGTTTATTTTACTTTCACCTGTTAATTGATCGAAAATTAAGCTGTGGTCACTAACAATCACTGACCCCTTTTTACTGGACCGAAAAAAAAAAAGACTTCCCTTCTAATTATCGATGACACTCATTATATGTCCGTCGATCTCATAATAATGATATTAAAAGGTGAAAAGATATTTGACCTTCGACTTTCAAAAGTTCAACAAAGTCATGGTTCACGAAAGGTTTGAACAATTTTGATAGTAACCCTATCCTAACATCCTGTATTGTACCTAAACAATCACCACTCCTTTGTTTCGAAATGTATATAAATTCAGAATTATTTTTCTAATTAAGTATATTTCAATATGGCTTTTACTCAGGTAAGTTCTCTCTATAATCACATTATGTATTTTAATTTTAAATATTTTCGTATATTTTACAGTATTTCGCTATCTTTACATTGGTTTTGATGTGTTCTTCGATGGCTCCAGCCACCTTTCGCCATAAACCATCCAGAAGTGAAATTAAAGATGAACGAAATGTGAGAAAGTTTTAAAAATTTTCCAAATAAAATTATAATTGTTTCCATTTTAAACTGTTATAAGATCAAAGTATATTGTAATTGGATCAGTTTTATATTTAACCATCACAAACTAGTTTTAGAGTAAATCATTAATTAAAGAGGTTGCGGCCGAAGTTTTCATCTCTAAAACGTAAACGTCTAACGTCGAGTGCCGTTATCTTGTATGCGGCGCTCGACGTTCGACGTTCAAGTTTTAGAGATGAAAACTTCGGCCGTAACCTCGCCATTAACTTGTGATATAACCTGTAAGTTATTTACTTTTAAATTAAGTCGTGCCTTTATTATTCTAGGATAATTTTTACAATTACTACTACTCTATAAACGATGCCGATAGCCATCAATTTAAAAAAGAAACTAAGAAAGACGGAAGAGTTACAGGTAGTTACGGAATTGTAGATCCCGATGGAAGAAAGAGAACTGTTTATTACGTGGCAGATGAAAACGGTTTTCGAGCTAAAGTCGATAGTAATGAGCCTGGTGTTATGTCTATGAATCCTGCAGATATAGAAATTATGAAATTTAATCAGTTTAATCACTTTATGAACGGAATCGACAAGGAAAATTCATTTATGCCCAATGATGACTTTCTGCAATCAAAAACAACATCTAATCCTCCGGAATATATGTATCCTATTCAACCCGAATTCGAGAAAAATCATAAGAAGGCTGTAAACAGTTTCCCAGTTTCATATAAATTAATGATTGATCATAATGATTTTGGAGCCAAATTATATCAAGACAAAGAAAAGCATTCGGTCGAATCTTCAAAATCCTGGAATCACCACATGACCAATAATCTTCCTTCAGCAAATGTTAATGATAATTATATTTTTCACAAAAGATAAAATTTATAAGCATGAAATGCAAGTAAATTTTAATTATACGTCTACATTTTTATAATTTTATATTTTATTGGTTATGGTTTAAATTAATATTGTGTATTTCATATAGTAGATGTGATAGTCATTATTAAAAAAAAAACAACAGTAAAATTTTGCTTTAAAATTAAATATAATTTTTTATGTATTAAATTTAATAAATTTTAAAAAATAAAATATTTTCGATATTAAACAATTTGAAAGTATACTTTATTTTATACTTTATTACATAATAAATTGCTTTTGAGTAAAATACACATTTTTATACCTTTTTTTTCCATTTACTGTTCCAATACATCCTTGTTGTAAAGCTGTTACTTTATGTAGTCTAATTATAACTAATAGGCGGTGCTCTCGACCTTCTCTTCTCTTTCTTCTCCTTTTTCTATACATTAGACAGTTGAATATGGTCTATCCTGTAATGATAATAATAAAATATTCAACTCAATCACTACAGCGTTATAAAGCAAAAATTTATATATTAACCTTTAAAAGCTGGATTTTATATAATATAAATAAATTATTTTATTAAGTAGACATATTTAATAAAGCAAAAGAGTAATACACTGTAAATAGATATAAATATAATAATTATATGATAAGGAATTGTTTATTTTACAAATGCCAAAAGGTAATTANTGCCGTGACATCAGTGTCTTTATATAGGCCTATATATAATATTTTCTGGAATAAACGTAATGCATTTTAAAAAGTACTTCTACATTTATGCTAAAAACAATTATTAAAAAAAAAGTAATGTCCTTGAATGTCTGTGCTTGGTTTATATGATACTTATCAAACTGTCGTTGTAAGTAGCCATTTAATTTTATCTTCAGTTACGTGTAAAATATGTACGATTTTAATGGAAAACGAGCTCTAGTAACCGGAGCAGGAAGAGGTGGAGTTAATTAATCTTTTATAGTTAAACAAAGATACAAATTATAACGTTATTTTTTTAAACTACTGCTACCTACTACCAAAAATAATGATTGTGGAATCTGTAAATACGTTTAACATATATCATTGCAGGCATAGGAAGAGAGATAGTTAAACAATTATCTAAGTATGGCGCACACGTTATCGCTCTGAGTAAAACACGAGAAAATCTTGAATCATTGAAATCCGAGGTTGTATTTCTGTTAATTTTTTTTTACTAATTTTTAGGTTAGAGGTAATGATTAATTTAATTTTTGTAGATTCCTTCCATTGAAACGATATGTGTTGATCTTGGTGATTGGAAGGCAACACGACAAGCTGTTGAGAAACTTCAAACTGTAGACTTACTGGTAAATAATGCAGGTGTTTTGGAGGAAGCAGTTTTCGAAACAATCACGGAAGAACAATTTGATAAGTAAATAATATGATATTTTCCATAATAAGTATTAAAGTGTTACATTTACAACTTATATTAATTAATATTAATTTTTGCTTTTGATTACAGAACATTTAATGTCAACGTCAAAGCAATAATAAATATCTCCCAGGTAATTTAAAATTTTTTATTTTAGATGAATTGATTTTAGAAAAATATTTTATTCGATACAATTTAGACTGAACTGAAATTTAGGTCAGTGTCGTTCTCCTTGATCGGATTTTAAAATATTTAATGGTATTTTAAAACGATATTTTGGTAGGTGATAGCGAAAAAATTAAAAGATGAAAATAAACCAGGATCCGTTGTCAACATATCCAGTGTTTCTTCATGGTTTAATTATACTGGTGAAGCTGTGTATGGATTAAGTAAAGCTACTGTAGATAAACTTACTAAACTCATGGCAAAAGAACTTGGACCATCAGGGGTAAATTTTTCCTATTCATTTTGTTTTTCATTATGTTAATGTTTCAGTTTAATTTATTTTCTGAATAATTTATAAACTGATATATTATTTTTAGTTTTAATTACTTGTTAAGAAATAGCTTAACAATACATAATATAGATTAATTGTTTTATCTATTTTCAAGGTTAAATAATAGTAGTATTTATAGTCATGGAAATTTTCTTAAATTTTATCAAATGATGATGAAAAATATATTTAAAATCTATTATGTATACTTAACGACTTCTTTACTAACTTGCTTTGTAACGTCTTTAAATCTTGCAACTCAAATTTCATAAATTTGTAATTAAGATAGAAGGCTGATACTTTGAGACATACATAATCACGAGGAAAATACATTTTAATGTTTAAGAGGGCGGATTCATCACCATCATCCTCCTCACTTCGAAATCCGATAAACATAACCAAGTGTTGAATTTAATCGTAATATGTGTGTAAATTTAACTTTCTCCAGAAGTCCGTTACCATCCAATGCTGATTATTAGTTTTTAAATAATGTATTGAAGTAAATAGTCAAGTTTTGAACTAAATTACTAGTGGATTAGAGGGTGAATTTAATAAAAAAAACCGGAGATACGTGTTATTGCAAAAAGTTTACATTATATTCTTTGTTTGTTTAATTGAGTTACGGCAACGAAACACTTGGGCGATCTGTCTAGGGAGGTCTTTTTAAGGGCAACTGGCCCCAATTCAGGCGTTACAGACATGGAGAAAACCCGGAAAACTCCGCTTGGTCAGCCCGCGCAAACCCAGTGTTCAGGGAACGCTTGGCCGCTGGTGAGACCATTATGAACGTTTTTCTATCAGACCATGTCAAAATGTTCCAGAAGTAATCAAAAAATTTCATAAATAATCAAATAAAAGTCTTTACACCAGATTGTGGAGTTTTGTTTTGCAGAGTGGCGCAGAAACATGGCCCTTTCATGCATGTTTCTCTCTAATTTTCAAATACTTTCATTCTCCAAGCTCGTTTTGCTTCCAAACCTTTCATTCTCCGCTCCTTATTCAGTTTTCTCGATTTTATTGTTACTCTTTTACAAGCAACAATTCTTTAAATATTATGTAGGCTATATTTATTATTCTACTGTATATCTAAAAAAAAAAATTTCAAAACTTCTTACAGTCCGCTCACAATCTACACACCCGTAGACCTTTAACCACCAAAATTTAATAGAATCAATTCCCCTAATAAACAAACCTTCCTGCAAAATTTCAGAAATTTTCGACAAAAAGCACAGGAGTAATTAAGCTACAAAGAGGGTGAACAAAATCGTGCCCCCATACACTAACGTTCATACATAAAGAAAAACCCATGGTAAAAGTGTCAAAAATAATGTATAACTTTATTAGAAGAAATAATCGTAGGATTTTAGAGGGAATATAAAGGAGGTCGTGTATCATATCTCGAGTAAGGTCGGACTTTATTGACGATTTTCCTGGTTACTAGCATTTACAATTCTTTTTATAAAACCATTCTTACCCTTAAAAATTAAGTTTTATGCCATTTTATAATAATTAAAAATATAAAATGCTTTTAATAATAAAATATCACGACAGATGCCAATTTTAACTTTGGCCGGGAAAGTTAAGCAACTCGTTGCTGGATTTTGTTTTGTTATGAATTTTGTTATTTTAGCCTGAAATGAATACTAACAAATTTTAGTTTCTTTATTCATTTTAGCTTATATTCAGTGTTATATTCATATATTTGTAGATCCGAGTTAATTCTGTAAATCCAACTTGGGTAATGACTGAAATGGCAATGCAACTACTTAGTCCTGAAAACGAAGTCCAACTGAAGAGTAAAATTCCTTTAGGGAAATTTTGTAGTATGTATTATATTTTAAATGTGAATTCGTTATATAATATTTAATATAGTAATAGTTTTATATTTTATAGATGTTAAAGATATCGCTGATGCAGTACTTTTTTTACTGAGTGATAATGCCAAAATGGTGAATGGTGTCCATTTCCCTGTCGATGGAGGAGAACAATAACTTTTAAAAATGATTTTATCATCTAAATAAAATATAATATTTTAATGTTTATACTAAAATCGTTTAAATATTAATTCTATACACTATCAATAGTTAGGAGTTATGCAGAGCTACGCTATTTGGTTCAGAAATTAATGCGCCAGTTCTTCAGTTTACACTCGTATAATGTATTATATACGCAAAAGAAGAAGCCTCAGATGTAGTCCTGCTAATGGGCTCTGTGGGCATCACCATACATGGAATACGGTAGATAAGAAATCATTGGTGAAGAGGTAAAACAGTGTCTTTAAATTGAAAGTTTTTTATTGTGTTCAAATTTTATAAATGTCAGTGCAAACAAGTACCTATAATAATAAAAAAAACCACAGTGAAACAATAAAAACAAATCTTATTTTATATTGTTTCTTATGGGAAAATTTATTTCGGTTTTCGAACAACTTTTAGGAACGAACTAAGTTCGAAAACCGAGGTTTGACGTTATTAATTATTATTGATTAAACATGAAATATTAATATTATTTACTTGTGTTATTTTCGTAGTGTTCTGCTGCGATGCAAATTAATTTATGGATATTAGGAGAGAAAATATCTGTGTGACCGTAGGGTCGGTGTCTCTTTGACATCGCGTCTTTGACCACCGAGTCTCACAGGATTCGGAAATCGCGACTTTACGTCACGCGAGCGGTAGCGGGTGAACGGTTGGATTCGGAGTAGAGGTGAGGAGAGAGAAACGAGGAAATGATTCACTCGGATTCCATATTAATAAACAATAACAAATTTATTTTAACGGGCAGGAGTACACGATATACGATCTTTTCCATATTTTCTTAAATTTAATAGTCGCGAGAGAGAGAGTGTACAAACGACTCGCGTGTGGATAAATACCTTATAAAGAAGTTGAGGATGGATGACTCGATGACTCAAACACAGGATTCTTCAGGTGTTCGGTGGATTCTTCGGGTGATCAAAGGGTCTTTTTATTCGAATTTGGGTAACAGGTCTTCAGAGGGAGGTATCAGACAGGTGTAGAATAAGTCAAGAACTTGGGCGTGATAGGTATCCGTATGTTGATATCGATGGAGGCACAGTAATTTAACACACTTTTGAGGCGACTTTTGTGGACGGACTTTGGAGGACGACTGGTTTTTATTCATCGCTCTCCCTGGTTATTGGGTATTTTTCTTCTGGGGTTTTTCCATGAGATCAGGAGTTTGTTGCTAATGGCCTGGCGTCCAATACTGGAAATTTATCGAAAGTTTCGGGTGACACATTAATGACTAGATGGATCATCCTCAACAAGGAAGCAAGTCCGTGGGAAACAATTTTTATGATAGCTCTTGAAAAAAAAATCGAAGTCAAATGACAAAATTGTAAAATGACCAAAGGTCAAGCTAATGTTTTCATCCCTTCGTCCGTGTTCATCTGTTTTAATCGAATATAACACTTCAATATATAAAGGTCTGTAGTAAAAATAGGAGTGTTTATTTTATTTATGTGGACAGAAATACATTAGGATTTTTGAGAAATAGTAATTTTTTGTGAATTTCTAAATTATTTACATCCACTTGAACATTCATAATTATATATACGTTAGCAATAAATAATAATTATAGACTATAATTAGAGCTACAGTATTCATCAGTACAGTATTTACTACAGTATACAGTATTCAAAGTTCATCAATAATATTGGTGAAATTATATGGATGGATATTAAAAACATTAGATTAATTTATTGGGCTGCAATTTGAAAAAAAATTGTGGATCTATAAATTCCTACTGTCTCTGTTCTTCCCTCCGTTCCTCCGTCTGTATGTCTTTCCTTAATTTCGAGAACGGAGTAAGATAGATGAACATCGTGACCAGATACGGAAAGCTTAGAGACAGGAGGTCCCGATTAACTATATAAAAACTTTCGGTACAAATCGAAAGTCACATTATTTCAATTCAAATCTTTTCCCCTGAAAGGAGTTAGCTAGACGATCAGCAGGATTCGGTGCTAACGGAAAAGTATGATGTACAGGGGCTAGTTACTAACTAATTTGAGATGTAGAACATATATTTTAAATTTAAAAAATTAAAATTATGATTAAAAATTGCAGCCCGGCATTGTGACGAAGTCACAATAAATAATTGCTCGTTATAAATGTAGTGATATTGGACCTACTCTTCTCCCCAGCTGCGGTCTTGTCGGCCCATATCAACTCTCTTTACAAGCAGTCGTAAAAGTAATAAACAAGGGTAGACAAAGGAATTGTATAAAGGGAGAAGGTAGCTAAGCAAGGATAGACAAAGTGTTATAAAAAAGAGGAGAAAAAGCGGAAAAACGGGAGAGAAGGACAAGTGTAGCAGAAGGAGTATCAGAATAGAGGTGGGAGGACAGTAGAGTTAGTGAGGAGAGAAGAAGTGGCAAGAGAAAATAAGAAGAGTCTCGTTAACTGCATAGGATTGAGTTTCTACTGTATACGATCAAGTGTGATTAAAGTTTGTTTTCTTTTGTTAAGATATTTGCCATTGTACACCATTCGCCCTTTTTTATTGCGCCATTACGAAGGGACGTGAACCGCAATAAAATTGTTAATATGAGTGAAAGATGGGAATGACACTTCGATCCTTCATTCTAATCACGATACACGACAGTCCGATTGAATTTGAAATCATATCTTACACGGAAAAGACTGATGTCTTACTACGCGGCCATCAGAACAATATCTTACTCAACTATTTAGCCGCTCGATTGTCATAAAGATGAAAAAAGTAGGAGACCGTTTCAGATACATTTCTCTAGTCGTATAGTCTATTGTAAACTGATATCTACTGTAATAAATTTATTGTAACTTAAGCTAAACTGAAACGGTAAAAACTGAGAAAACATAATTCACAATATATTTGTCTCACTGAAGTCCATTCTAATTTAATCCTCATGCAGTGCGGATAAAAATATCACACTTTTTATTCCGTAATTAAAACGGCCTTATGGCCGAGACATTTAAGCCATCAGCTCACTTCTCCAGAGGACTCCGGTATTTTTCTCCGGGAGTACCCCAGAAATTTTTCATAAGTGGTCTGTTCCAAATATATCGAACTCTATCCCTCACTATCCGGTCGTCCCCACTGTAGGCCTGCAGAATCCAAAATGGGTTAATTAGCAATTGCAAAAATTTTTTCTTTAGTTTTTCCTTTCCCTACAATATAGTAAATCACTAATATATTAAATTAATGTAACAAGTAAAAACAGTATATAGAATTTAATTTTCTATATAATTATTTTTATTCAAACATTTAGACGGCCAGATATAGAGCTGTTATGGTGACAGTTTATCGCTTAGAGTGACCCGGGATAGAATCCGGGCGAGTCGAAAACTCCCAGAAACTTTTCGAGGAGTGGTCCATCCAAATGTGTCTGACTCCATCCCTCACCACACGGGCCGAACCCATACGTGCCCAACAAGCTGGGCACCTGAAATTTTCCGAGTTTTCTTCAGTAACACCAAAATAGGGGCCAGTTTCCCATAAAAAAAAAACTTCCCGGTAGACATTCCCTCCTCGGCAGATCGCCCACGTGTCGCGTTGCCGTAATCTAATACATCCAACCGAATCCATAGTAGGCTTACTAAAAAAATAGCTAAATGCCCACAAAAAAACTCAAATACTGTAAATAACCACTAAATTATTTCAGTTTCATATAATACAAGTTGACGTCTCATATTAGCATCAATTAGAATAATAATAATAATAATAAAAGCAATAAATTATTAAATATACAATAAAATTAATATTTTTGTAAACTTTATAAATTATAATAAAATAAAATCTATATATAAAATTTTCATGTAAAATTTCGAAATACTTGAAATGAACATATCACCTGCTGGTATTAGTACTAATGAAACTAGGCATGGATACTTGTTAGATTTGTGAATATCCGAAAGAAAAAACGCATGTTAACATAAAATTGTAAGTTTTTTCTCTCTTTTATACCTGCTCCTATACATATTCTTGTATATTAGAATATTTTAAAATATTTTAAATTTAATTTCGGTATCATGTTGCGCGTTGATAATCATAAATCGAAAGCGAAATAAGCTTAATAAGCAATTAAGAACGTTAAAAATAATTACGAATTGCTTTTATTAATCATAATCATAATTTAATACCAAATTCTGTTTGGTTGTTCTATAGAGAACTGCGAATTGTTCCAAATCAAGTAAATGAATACCTTTAGCTTAATGAAGTAACATTAAATGTATTTAAAGTACACACAAAATTGGACTGATCCATTTTCAAATTTAATGGTCATTAAAAGGAAAATAAAGTTGTGAAGATTGTAAAATGTCAAAGCTAATTTGTCATTACATATCTCAAACACTGCATTTTTTGTTTTTATTTGGAAATTCTTTTTCATAGATAAACCAATATCAGATAAATATTTAGGAAGGAAGGAAGGATGCTAACTTTTAAACAAGATAATTTAATAAAACACCTAAACTTGCTAAATCAGTTTCGGTTCGTAGTAACGAAAGCGTGTATTTAAATCTTTAATGTAAACAATTAATTATGGAAGTGAAAATCTCGATTTATTAAACGACAGTTTCCTAATACAAAATTTGTAATGTAGGGAGTGGCGAGTTTAAACGTCAAAAATAATAATAATATTTTCTTTTAGTTTTTCAATTTCGATATTTTTTCCGGTGTCGTTCTCGTTCGTCGTCTGTTATTTTATTTTTGAAAATGTTTTGTTTTAATTTAAAAATTAATTTGTTTGTTTAATAGTTAAGAGCTTAAATCTTCCTAAAATTAAAATGATATAAGCCATTTCTTCAAAGATGATATTTAAGTATTAAATCGCATTGAAATCAAAAGAGCAAAGTTTAAAATAATAATTTTTAAAATTATGCAATAGTTGATTAACTTCAAAAATGAAAATTAAATGAGAAACCAAAAATTAATTTTTTAGCAAAACCAATTTTTGTAAAATATTAAATTATTTATTTTTATATCGACTAAATCTTTTGCATTATGATAAGAAAAAATGTCATAAAAAATGCAAATCAATTAACTTTATAAATGAAATTCCAATAGAGTTTAATGCAGATAAAATACAAACATTACTCTACATAAAATAGATTATGTAAAAATTGGTAAGGAAGATTTGAAAATTTGAGAATATATTGTATGGACATATTTAAAAGTCATTTAAATAAATAAAGTATTGTTTTTAAAAATTTGATTTATTTTAATAAATTAATAATAATTGTAGGTTTAAGAGTGCTAACGTATCTTGTTGATTTATTTTTTAATTTTATGCTTTAGATGGTATAATTATATATATATTTAATTATATTACAAATTGCTATAATTTACATTAAACTATTATTTGGTACTTTTTTACTTCTTTAGTACATAGAAAAAGAAACTTTTGAATCTCTATTTTTTCAATGAAAAACAAACAATTTAATGAAAAGCTTATTATTTTTTTATATTAGGATAAAATAGTAAAAATTTCATATATAATTTTAAGCTGTTTTATACATGATTCAGTTATTTAATCATATGATCTACCTGATTAAACAACTAGAACAATTAATCATAATTTGTTTTATGAAATTTGTGAATAGCAAAAAAAGTGAATGATAAATTTTACATTTATCAATATGATTAATTTTTAAACATATATATCAGATTTTTTTCATTTAATACATAAAATAACTTTACAAAATTGATATATTATATAAAATCTGTAGTTTAATGATATAAAATTAATGCATAATTATAAAATTTAATTTTTTAGATATAAAATTCTGATCTTTTATGGACTGTTATATTTTGATTATAATTTTCAAGTTAAAGGATACTTAAATGATATGTAAAAGTATTTAAAATACTAAATATTAGTTGTTAAGTTATTAAAAATTGTGTTTGATACAAATAAAAATAATAATCTAGCTAAAAATGTAAAGTTTTTCAAGTGAATATGACATTTTATATTATATTTTTGTTAATTTACAACCAGTTAGTATTGGAAAATTAAACTAAATGGATAATTAAAAATGTGGGTTAACTGTAGTTGTAAAGTATAATTTACATAATCATACTGTGGTAATAAAGTCCTTGAAAAATTAGATGCATTAAAAAGTAACATTTTAAATGGTTATTTTCTTTTATTATTATTTTCTTTCTCTTTTAGAAGACCTGATATGAATTCATTATCAATAAAATTTTTAAAATTTCAAATTTTAAATACACAATTTTTGAATTCAGTGTTATTAGTATGTATGTGTATTTGGGTAAATCAATATTTAGAACATTTTATAAGTTATTTTTTTTCTCTGTTCAAAATACATCAGTTTAATTCTGAAATATTAATTAAAACTTGTGTTTATATAAAAGTAAAATTGGATTACAGTGAAAGTAAGTACATTTAAATAATATAAATTAAAATTATATGCATAGGNAAATTTAATTTCGGTGTCATGTTGCGCGTTGATAATCATAAATCGAAAGCGAAATAAGCTTAATAAGCAATTAAGAACGTTAAAAATAATTACGAATTGCTTTTATTAATCATAATCATAATTTAATACCAAATTCTGTTTGGTTGTTCTATAGAGAACTGCGAATTGTTCCAAATCAAGTAAATGAATACCTTTAGCTTAATGAAGTAACATTAAATGTATTTAAAGTACACACAAAATTGGACTGATCCATTTTCAAATTTAATGGTCATTAAAAGGAAAATAAAGTTGTGAAGATTGTAAAATGTCAAAGCTAATTTGTCATTACATATCTCAAACACTGCATTTTTTGTTTTTATTTGGAAATTCTTTTTCATAGATAAACCAATATCAGATAAATATTTAGGAAGGAAGGAAGGATGCTAACTTTTAAACAAGATAATTTAATAAAACACCTAAACTTGCTAAATCAGTTTCGGTTCGTAGTAACGAAAGCGTGTATTTAAATCTTTAATGTAAACAATTAATTATGGAAGTGAAAATCTCGATTTATTAAACGACAGTTTCCTAATACAAAATTTGTAATGTAGGGAGTGGCGAGTTTAAACGTCAAAAATAATAATAATATTTTCTTTTAGTTTTTCAATTTCGATATTTTTTCCGGTGTCGTTCTCGTTCGTCGTCTGTTATTTTATTTTTGAAAATGTTTTGTTTTAATTTAAAAATTAATTTGTTTGTTTAATAGTTAAGAGCTTAAATCTTCCGTCTTGTCGGCCCATATCAACTCTCTTTACAAGCAGTCGTAAAAGTAATAAACAAGGGTAGACAAAGGAATTGTATAAAGGGAGAAGGTAGCTAAGCAAGGATAGACAAAGTGTTATAAAAAAGAGGAGAAAAAGCGGAAAAACGGGAGAGAAGGACAAGTGTAGCAGAAGGAGTATCAGAATAGAGGTGGGAGGACAGTAGAGTTAGTGAGGAGAGAAGAAGTGGCAAGAGAAAATAAGAAGAGTCTCGTTAACTGCATAGGATTGAGTTTCTACTGTATACGATCAAGTGTGATTAAAGTTTGTTTTCTTTTGTTAAGATATTTGCCATTGTACACCATTCGCCCTTTTTTATTGCGCCATTACGAATGGACGTGAACCGCAATAAAATTGTTAATATGAGTGAAAGATGGGAATGACACTTCGATCCTTCATTCTAATCACGATACACGACAGTCCGATTGAATTTGAAATCATATCTTACACGGAAAAGACTGATGTCTTACTACGCGGCCATCAGAACAATATCTTACTCAACTATTTAGCCGCTCGATTGTCATAAAGATGAAAAAAGTAGGAGACCGTTTNAAAATAATAATAATATTTTCTTTTAGTTTTTCAATTTCGATATTTTTTCCGGTGTCGTTCTCGTTCGTCGTCTGTTATTTTATTTTTGAAAATGTTATGTTTTAATTTAAAAATTAATTTGTTTGTTTAATAGTTAAGAGCTTAAATCTTCCTAAAATTAAAATGATATAAGCCATTTCTTCAAAGATGATATTTAAGTATTAAATCGCATTGAAATCAAAAGAGCAAAGTTTAAAATAATAATTTTTAAAATTATGCAATAGTTGATTAACTTCAAAAATGAAAATTAAATGAGAAACCAAAAATTAATTTTTTAGCAAAACCAATTTTTGTAAAATATTAAATTATTTATTTTTATATCGACTAAATCTTTTGCATTATGATAAGAAAAAATGTCATAAAAAATGCAAATCAATTAACTTTATAAATGAAATTCCAATAGAGTTTAATGCAGATAAAATACAAACATTACTCTACATAAAATAGATTATGTAAAAATTGGTAAGGAAGATTTGAAAATTTGAGAATATATTGTATGGACATATTTAAAAGTCATTTAAATAAATAAAGTATTGTTTTTAAAAATTTGATTTATTTTAATAAATTAATAATAATTGTAGGTTTAAGAGTGCTAACGTATCTTGTTGATTTATTTTTTAATTTTATGCTTTAGATGGTATAATTATATATATATTTAATTATATTACAAATTGCTATAATTTACATTAAACTATTATTTGGTACTTTTTTACTTCTTTAGTACATAGAAAAAGAAACTTTTGAATCTCTATTTTTTCAATGAAAAACAAACAATTTAATGAAAAGCTTATTATTTTTTTATATTAGGATAAAATAGTAAAAATTTCATATATAATTTTAAGCTGTTTTATACATGATTCAGTTATTTAATCATATGATCTACCTGATTAAACAACTAGAACAATTAATCATAATTTGTTTTATGAAATTTGTGAATAGCAAAAAAAGTGAATGATAAATTTTACATTTATCAATATGATTAATTTTTAAACATATATATCAGATTTTTTTCATTTAATACATAAAATAACTTTACAAAATTGATATATTATATAAAATCTGTAGTTTAATGATATAAAATTAATGCATAATTATAAAATTTAATTTTTTA